CGACCATCCTGTACATCAGTAAGTTTATTACTGGGGTAATAAATTCCTCATTTGTAACACAACAACTACAGATGCAACTACTTTAAACCAAACTTTTATTCAAACAACATAATAATTTACAATACAAAATATGTAGCGTGTATACAAAACCGATGCACTGTACTCTGTTTGGTAAATTCACAAACTGTGCTGTTAGGAAAGCATGCAACTATCACAATTATTTACTTTGTAGGATATTAATATATATGTTAGTCTCCAGGATACAGAAATTAAACCAATGTAAATAATTAAATCTACTCCTATGCTGTTACCTTGTCGTGGTGGAGTAGCAACCGTACCCCAATGACCCGAAGAGCTAAGCCAGCGGTAGCAGTGCTACTGGAAGGGTCTCCCATGCTGGATAGGTCCGAGGGTAGGGGTCAGACTAAAGACAGCAAACCTGGTCCTCCGTGGGTAAAATTGGAGTTTGGACTACAGGCTAATCACCTGTATCCATAAAACACCATTGATTACGAAAACTGTACGTGACAGAATACCAGAAACTGGAAATAGAGCTTGCAATGCGACAGTCCGTACACCCCTGGACAAGGACATTGTGTATATGGACAGTATGACACCACTGTGCCAAAGCCGAGAGAAGGCTCAGCGGCCGATTAACTCTTTGACCAAGCCCAAAGAAACTTTAAACTTAAAGATGCTGGAATGTTCGCACATTATTCAGCATTGGTAAATCAGCTCAGTTTAAACCAAGGAAATGAACAGATATCGCATCGACATTATGGGGATTAGTGAATGTAGATGGTCTGGGTTTGGGAAGGTGTAACTGACAAGTGGGGAGACAGTAATATTTTCTGGAAGAGAGGATGATTTACACCGACAAGGAGTGGCCTTAACGTTGTCAAGAAAAGCAGAAAAGTCTTTAATGAAAAAAAAAAAAAAAAGCCAATTAATGAAAGGATCATTTATGGAAGATTCTTCCCAAACACTTTGAAATCGTCTATATTCCAAGTGTATGCCCCAACTAACGACGCAGAGGAAGAAGTTAAAGACATCTTTTACGAACAACTACAGACGATGATTGTCAAGATACCCAAACATGACATACTCATTGTGATGGGAGACCTGAACGCCAAAGTAGGTGATGACAACGATGGATTAGAAAGGATTATAGGAAGACATGGAATCGGTAGTAGTAACGAAAATGGCCATAAACTTGTGGACTTTTGTGGGCTCAATAACCTTGTTATCACAGGAACCATATTTCCTCACCAAAACATCCATAAGGAGACCTGGATTTCACCTGGGGATTAGGACACGCAAACAAATAGATCATGTTCTCGTCAGCAGACAACACACAACATCAATACTAGATACACGGATAATGAGAGGGGCAGACATTGCTAGCGATCATCTACTTGTTCGTACAAAGATCAGAATAAAATTAAAAAGAAAACAACAAACACAGTCACCTAGGAGAAGATTTGATTATGTCAAATTACAAATACCTAACATCAAGAGACAGTTTTCCATAAAACTTACAAACCGCTACGATACTCTACATAATCTAGACAGTGTGGATTTGGATAGTTCTAATAATTTGGAAAGAAGATGGCAAGAATTTCAGGACACTTATACACAGACTGCAAAAGAGGTTCTGGGTTACAAGAGAAAAGGACAGAAACCGTGGGTCAGAAGAGAATCATGGATACTGGTTGAGGAGAGAAGAAAACTGAAGAATGATACACAACAGACCAAGTCAAGAAGGATTAAGGAGGATCTGTTAGGGAGATACAGAGATAAAGACAAGGAAGTGAAAAGGAATATGAGAAAAGATAAGAGAAAGTAGACAGATGACCTGGCAAATACAGCAGAAAAAGCAGCAACAAATGGAAGAATGAAAGAATTATATGAAATTACAGAGACACTGAGCAACGATAGAAAGAGACATAAAACTACAGTGAAAGATAAAGATGGTAATTTATTGACAAAGGAGAAGATGGAAAGAACATTTTGAGGAAACTCTAAACCGTCCTCTCCCAATGAATCCAGTTATGGAACTCGCGGATGCTACCGAAATTGAAGGAATAAACACAGGCTACAAGCGGGATTCAGAAAAGGTAGAAACACAGTTGAACAAATTTTCATATTGAGGAACATCATCGAACAGGTTGTCGAATGGCAATCCACTCTGTACGTTTGTGGACTATGAAAAGGTGTTTGACTCAGTACATCGAGAGAGTTTATGGGTTATAGTGAAGAGCTACGGAATCCCACAGAAGATTATTAGGATGGTTCAAGTACTGTATGAAGATAACGAGTGTACAGAGGAAACAGCATGGTTTAAAGTCAAAACAGGAGTTAAACAAGGTGACGTGAATAGGTCAACGGAGGGAAACAAAATGGGAATACGGTGGAAATTTATGAAAAAGCTGGAAGATCTCGACTTTGCAGATGATTGGCTTTAATTTCACCAACTTCACAATTTATCCAAAAAAAAATAAATGAGATGAACCGAGCTTCCAACAGAACTGGCCTAAAAATTAATAAGACGAAAACAGAAGTTCTCAAAATCAACAGTAAATCAAACAGCAAAATCAATATAGATGGAGAGGAGTTAAAGGAGGTGGACAAATTCACATATCTTGGAGCAACAGTCAGTAAGTACACAAGGAGGAGGAGGAGATGACATAAACACCAGAATACTGAAAGTCATGACATCCTTCGCAAAACTTAATAAAATTTGGAGATCAACAAAGATTAGCTTAAAAACAAAGATAAGACTATATAACTCATTGGTCAAACCTGTTCTTCTATTTGGAGCTGAAACTTAGAAAATTAATGAGAGTGACAACAAGAAACTCGACTCATTCCTCTCCAAATGTCTACGATGGATATTGGGTATACGATGGCCATATGTGATATCAAATGAAAATCTGCTAGAATGCACAAACATGAAAAGAATAAGCAAAGAAACACAAATTAAAAGTTGGAAATGAATTGGCCATGTGTTAAGGATGGACACCAATAATCACTGTATGAAAGCAATGACATGGAAACCGGAAGGAAGGAGGAGAATTGGGCGCCCCGAAAACTACCTGGCGGAGGAAAGTGGAGAAAGAGAGGGGACACCTAGAATGGAGATCATGGAACCAGGCAAAACAAGTCGCCATGGATAGAAACGACTGGAGAACGTCACAGGCCCGAAGAGGACAAGTATGTATGTAAATAATTAAATAATCACATTGTATCTTTTGTTTCTTTCGGATTATACAGCCATGTTACCAGAGATTCACAACATGGATTTGGAAGTTACTTGGAAAGGGCAACCGAAAGATACTTCCATCCTGTGCAGTGTCCGCTATCAGGAAGGCATTTCCTTCCCAACAATATGTAGGGTTTCAATACCTGAAAAGTCCATAATTGATTGCTTTGAGTATGTTAGTTATTGCAGCTGAATTCTTGTTTTATCGATTGGAAACTGCCTGTGGTAGCTCTCTGTAAAAAAACAAATTAGGATTATAAGACTTGAATTATGGCTTATAAATAAGATTATCGGCAACTCTGTAAAATAATTTTTGTTTAGCTAAGTATTATATTCCATGAGGATAAATGAATAAAAGTTTAGAATATTCAATAATTATGGCCTCAGATCAATGTTATGGTTTGATAAATTACAATCATCAAGTATGCTATTATGACTATGTGTATATTTTTTATAAGCAACAAATAATAACCACAAAACATACACCAAAGTATTTGTCAAGAAAAAAAACTAAACTCAACTCTTTCACGCTCTCTCTACTACCAAAATTAGAACAGAACGTAAGACCACTAGGGTAGTATTAGTCGTACTGAGCTACCATACCACTCATTTATACTATGATCAGGTCTATACAGTACTACTTGTAGTAATATTTAACTTTCTATGTGTTGATAATTATTTTTGATTAAGTTTAATTTATTTTAAAAACAAAAAACTAAATTTATTGTACTAGTCTCAATAAATTGATGGAAGAAAAAAATTATATTTACTGCTATAGTTCGGTACACAATAAAAATAATCTGACTGTCCATACTGTACTATATGATATGTCCATGTACAGCAACCATTATGTCATGGAATAATTTTTAATAGGCGCAGCCAACTATCATTAAAATGATTACGGTATCTCTGTTTGACTTAGCTTAGGTCGTAAATCTTATTTTATAGCCTACTAGCCTAGGCATAGGCCCTAGGCTTAGTTACACTTACTTCTTTTCGCCTACGTTTTCGAAACGCACCCCTATCTTCTGGACCCTTGTTGCTGCTTTCCGATGGCTAAGGGTAACCTTCTATGTATGGCCTTTCAATTTCCAATTAATTTTTTCTTTAAAACTTCACGCAGTGTTGGTGGGTACTTCGAGAAATCATCTTTCTTGAAATGGTCTGAACATACCGTTGCATGTTTGGTGTGTACAAAATCCTTCCTTCTCAATGGCGTGGATCCAGGCCTTCCTCCCAATGGGTGATTTAGGAAAGGAAAAAATCCTATATTTCTCTCTCGATTCTTTCCGCTACTTGTTGTATCAGTACAGCCAAAAGCTGAACAATACGGCATTGTTTTAACAATGGAGAAAAACAAACTAAAACTTCAACAATAGTAGCTTAAAAGTTAAAACAAAGAAACCATCGAAGCATAGAATCTACCGCTATTCACAAAACTCTTGTAAAGTGTAAACCCGAAATGACGTCACTGTAAAATTTCTACATATCAAAAGGACGCCCTCAAACTCTCTTGGCAGGTATTTAAAATCACGTTTTTTTTAAAAACGATGTAATCTATAAAATAGCACTAAAAATTGACTGTTTGTATTACTTTATACACACATTATTTATAAAATGTTGTCATTTCTGCTTTAATAAGTGAACCCATGGTTTCCGGGTTACTGTATTCTGTACAGGAATTTACTTGACGCCACAAGCACATGGATCGAGTGAAAAACGTCGTCGCGTTACTCACCTTGTTGCGGCACCAGCGGGGCTGTGTTTCTTCGTAAGCTAAAAAATAAGTCATATAGGACTATTAATAAAGTTTGTATACACATTAACAAATGTATAGTACTGTACATTAATATGATCGTTATTTTGAATTTCTTTTGAGGGCAAGTTGGAGTTTTGGCTCCAATCTAACAAAATTCCAGTCCAGGCATAGCCCTGCCCAGCCTAGCATATCGGTAGTGTAAATACATAGGAATTTCACACCAGGGAGATGTAAAAAAATATCACACAACCCCGATTTTACGTACGGATGATTTTTACGAACGCCTCTGGGCCCATCCTGTACATAAATGAGGGGTTCTACTGTATAAACACATCTTTCAATAATATCGGTAGAACGGAAATTGGCTTATAATTTTCATTTTCAGTAACTCCATTTTTAAAAATACTTTGCCACTTTCCAGTTTGACGGAAATGTTGCTGTGGTCAAAGATAAATTAATAATATGAGCAATCAACACCAGAAGCTTTGTTATTTGGGAAGTTGTTTATATGATCAAAAGGGCAATTCCATGGTCACAGACCGACTTTTTAAGGCATTCATAATGGTAAAAAACTGTTCAAATATTACAGATAAACCAGTAAATCTGAAATTCCAAGTAAATTTTATACTCCTTCCCACACACTTTTAATTGACAATATTACAAAAATCAAAACATAAAGTCGTTTATGAAATATTGATATTAATATGTTTGGTCACAGACCGACTTAAAAAAAAAGAGAAAATTTTACATATATAAACTTAGCCTGGGTTCCAGGCCCTAATTTTAGTTTACTCACTCTTTATTGCACTTAGTGCGCACCATACCTAATTTAATTGGCGTCCCATACTCGATTTCTTCTCGAATTAGGGCCTGGGCAAACGATTCATGCGTGCAATTTCCCACATCAAATTTGATGTGGGATATCGTATGCATGACTGATTTTGTAAATCACGTGATTGGCTAACCTCATGCATTTTAATCAATCTTGGTAAATTTTCAAAATTGAAGATGCGGATGTCTCGACTAGAACAAGCTCCAGCTCCCTTTTGGCTACCTACTTGAATTAAAACAGTTAATAATAGTTCTGGCCTGCTGAGAACGACATGGACTGATAACCGTAGGCTAGGCCTACTTGGAACCTTGCTCACCACTAGCTGCTACACAGATTTAGGCCTTTAGGGTAGAATATTGTTAAAAAGGTAGGCCTCTGTAAGTAAGAACTTAAAAATAGGCCAAGCCCCTACTAGTCTAGGCTAGGCCTACTACCAGATTCCAGGCGAGGCCTGAGCCATCCTACTGGAAAGTTAAAGTTTTGTTGTATTTGTATGTATGCCATCTAGTCTTAGCTTAATTGTTTTTGCCATTGCCTTACTAGGGTCTATTCTAAATATTTTAGGCCCGTTTTATTAGGGAAGACTATTTAAATTTAGTCATGCCTAACCATGGACCTATGGCCTAACTAGTCGACGCGAGTGACTCAGTTTCGTGGCTCCAAAAATATGAACA